CAGTAGACCTGGCCTCCCAAATCCAGTCCCAATCCTCCATGGCCTCTCCACCATGTTCATTTTTCTTGCTTTCAAGGCCTGTGTTAGAGGGCTCTTCAAAGTTCTTAGAAGGTCCCATACTGGAGTTGATGTGGCAGTGTCCTTTAAAACTGCTCCTTTTTCCTTGGCTCTTGGGTAATAAACGATATTATGCTCTTTAAATTGTTGCAAAAATCTAGAATGATAAAATATTAAAATAGGCAAAAAAGAAAAAAAAATCTTGGGAGACCATATGAAATATTTCTCATGAGATATGATACAATGTTACTGAGTTGTAAAATTAGATCATATTGCAACATTTATTAATTGGGTCATATATCTGATGCCAAATTTCAGATGATGGGTAGTATTTGATAAAATAACAGCAGAACTTGAAAAACTAGTTTTTATATTTAAGAGCAATACACATCTCAAACATTTGACAATCAGAAGCAAATTGTTGCAATTTAGTAGTTTTAAGCACACTTTGATTAGGAAGATATTTTGCTTTTTATTATTCTTAGTATGGATTAGCTTGATTTTTAAGTCTTTATAGACAAGTTTTTGTAATTCAGCACCTTTACTGCAAGTCAAAATTGAAATACATTCAACCATTTTCTTCAGCAGTCAAAAAGGGCACACTGAGCTTTAATGTTATAGCAGATATCACACAGCAGGACTCTTCAGTCAGTTTGGATTGTGGATTCATGAAAATAAAAGGAAGGATTCGTTAGGCCACCTGTCCAAACTGTAAAATGAAATTCATTTACGGTTTATGTGTCTCTTTAGATCTCATAAATGGAGCTCAAGAACAGTGTGAATTGCCTCCTATGGATGGTTTTCCTCACTGTGAAGGGAAAATAAAGGTAAGTGAACTGGTTTTAATCTTATTCTGTGTGTTTTGCTTAAATCTGAACCTGTGTTGCAAGAGGACACAGCTCACACAATGGTGTAAAACAAGAACAACCGAGTCAAAAAGAGAATGTTTAGGAGTCTGGCTACAGTATTACTTACCTCAGGCCTTTGATACTACTGCTGCAGAGAAATAAAGTGGCATCCTGCTAAGACAGGAATAAAATGCCATGTTATATTAAATACGTATTATTGTTATTTATGTTATTTATTATGTTATGATTTATATATTTATGTTATTTAATAAAAGATCTTATTATTTGTATGCTGTCTTGTTATTCAGAAAACCCTGTTTTCTTTTTCATTATGAGTCATTTGGCATTCTCCTACCCCAGGACTTGGATTCTGTGTGTACCTCAGTCCAGCCCTTTTTCTGTTTCAGCAAAACATTTGTTTATGCTTCTTTCCCCTCTTTGCCAACAGTGCTGTTGGGTTCCTCCCTTCCCCTTTACTAGTAAAAGCATTCTGCTTCTTCTGATCACAAGCTAAAGCAACCAGAACTTTGGGGTTCACAGTTAATTCTATGTAAATCCTATATTTTACTAATAATGAGGTTTGAAAAGCTAAATATTGAAAGCCATCAGACTTTAGACTTTAGAAAGGAAAAAAATGAAACAAAACACTTCTTCCCTCTTCCTCCTCCCACCCTCCAAACCAATAAACACTCCCACAACAAATAAGACAAAAAAATCGAAAACAACAAACTTGCAGAAATGGAGGATTTGGAGGTTTTTCTTTTTCCACTGAGATACATTTCCAATGTAAGGATACTGTTTTAGTAGTAGGGGACAAAAGTAAAGTTGCTGAACACTTAAATATCGTTATCAAGTATTACAATTTATTTCTGATAGTGAAAACAAATAACTACCAAAATATATGTGAAATTATGTTGCCTTTTTTCTCTAAGTAAAATTCGTAGGCATAGTATTTTAAAATCCCAAAACTGTGTCTTAAGTGTCTGGTCTGTGTTTTGATACATCTTGACAAACTGGCTGCATAATGACTGTGTAATACATTATTTTAATATTAAAATATGAATTTAAATTAATAACTTCCTTCTGCAGAAATGACAGATTCTTGGCAGAATCAGGCAGATTTCAGCCTTAGTAACTGAAATGGTCTGTTAAATTCCAGAGCAAGTGTAATATGGAGGGGGTGAACAATGCAGTCAACTCCAGCCACACCCATATGTCTGCACCCTGATTATATTCTCCTTTTGATATTTGTCTCTGCTTGCGTGGTTACCAGTTTCTATAGACTGGGCTCATATCTGGAATGTAGTTACTTTCCCAACATAGCCGAATGCGGAGATGCAGTATGCTGCAAAATATTAATATAAAACTCCTTTTTTGCTATTTGTGTTTTTCATCTAGATGGATATAGTCACTTGCAGCTTTCCCCATTATTTATGAGTTCAGTGTGAAAAAGTAGAGAATTATTATGTGGTACTTCAATCTAACAGACTGTGGGTTTGTTTCTGTTTCAGTGGATGAAAGATATGTGGCGATCGGATCCCTGTTATGCAAGTTATGGTGTAGATGGGTCCACATGCTCCTTTTTTATTTACCTCAGTGAGGTTAGTAATCTATTAATCTTTAGAAGGGGAACATCATCATGCCTCCATATTTTTGGTAACTGTTTGCAACCTTTTCTCAAAAGAAATTATAACTTTCTTTGGAAAAAAAAATATAAAGAGGAAAAAGCTATTAAAACAGAATTATTATGAATTATTTTGCTATTAATCATAAGTCCTCCAGGGGTTTCTAGCATGGAGAATTGTAATGTTTATAACTGAAGTGATGTAAGCACCAACTTTCCAGGGAGTCCACACTGGGTATCCTGTTAAACCTAAGTATGAAGCTCAGTCATAGATTCTTGCCTCTGCGCACTTTTTCTCTTGCTTTCAATGTAGCTCCTGAGGTAGTAGTAGTGGAAGGCATTTTATGGGGGGGCATTTGGAATGTAAAATTTGGAAAGTAGAACAAAATGAACAGTAGAACATTTGCCTAAGTACCATGGCCACTACCTGCTTGGAGACTGTTCATGAATTGCAGAGTCTATAAGAGAAAACAAAATCCTCGTGAAAGTCCCGTTTTTTAATGAAGTTGCAAATATATTCGCAACTTTTGGTACCTGTCGGAACCAAAAGCCCAGTTTCATGCACAGCTGAGTAAAGTGCATGCCCTGGTAGGTTTTTGTACAGACTCTGTTTCCTGCATAACACTTTTTTTTTCCAAGAATGAATTTTGTCAATCAATTATTATGAGCTCCATTGCTGGCTCGTAGTGTGTGTGCCAGAAAATCAGGTGTATTTGATCACTTGAGCTCTTATTTCTTATTACTAAAATTTCTATAATTTACGGCAACTGATCTTGGAAGTAGTATTGATATCTAGTAGCTTACTATTTGTAAAGAACTGTAGGAACCAGTATGGCTGCTGAATTGCAAGCTGGTATTAATTTTGTAGTTTCTGCAGGATTGGGGGGTGGGACTGGGTTTTTAAATTGCATCTGAGATTAAAAGTATAGGTCTACTGTATAAATAACTCTGTTGTAATGAAAGCAGTTTCTGTTAATTTACTCAGTTGACTGTCATGAACTTTTTGGGGACACTGCTTGAAGCAGCAGTAATAGTTAAATGGATATCCAAAACATCTATCCGAAGAAATAAAAAAGGCTGGGTTGAATCACAGATTTGACTCAGTGCAATGCTAGTACCAAGTATTGATTTATTTATGGGCTATGAAGCTGGGGAAGGAAAAGATACAGTATGACTATATTATTTATCCTGCTATTTATCAATAGAAGCTTGAGATATGGTTTTGAAATAATCTGAAGGTGATCTGAATTTCAGCTAAAAGGTTATGTTTTAGCATTAGTGGAGTTACATTTGTGCATTAGTATTCTGTGAGCCAGCATGTGCTTCATGTTTTTAATGCAAATGTATTTTAGAGATGAAGATACGTCAACTGAATGTGAGAATCTAATATTCTTAAATGGCATTTGTTATTTTGTATTTCTGTATTTAAATCATAGTATCTTCTGTGACAATCTTCTCTGATCATCAGCTTTGAAAACTCAGTTGATGCTCTTAGTTTTTTCATAATTGACTTTCCAGCTCATCCTCATCACAAAATTGAAGCAGATTTATACAGGCCAAATGGTTGATTTTTTTCAAGGTTCTAGGGATTTAAAATTTTTCTTTAAGCAGTAATACTGATTTTGGGCAAATTCTCGCTTCATGGTGGAACAAAACGACAACTAGTCTATGCGTATGTTTATGAACTTCAAAGAAGTCTTGTACTTTCCTTTTTTAAAGTGTTTTCCCATGACAGAATGTAAAAGTAATATTGGGTGAGCATGTTATTAACCTTGAGTTTAAATTTGACATTCTTAATCCTATGATTAATGCCCAGCAGCAGAGGTTGAAAGCTTAAATGTTTGCGAATACAAGCATGAAATGAAATTCTAATAACACTACAACGATGTGGATTTATGAGGTGTGTTGGCTGCTACGGATAACTTGGAAATGCTATGGCGAGAGTAATTTGTCAAAGTGGACAGTGATGAAGAGTTGACAGTTTATAGTATGGTTGCACAGCTGAATGATAAATGTGCCTACAGAGCTCTCAAGTCAAAACTGCTGATTTAAAATATTAAAATGCATTAGGGTGCTGGGAGGATATTAAGTATAAGATTTTTCTTTTCTACTTTAAGGTTACAGTGTCGGAGTAAGATGGTTGTGTACACATGCTTTGTTTGATAAGGCAATATATACATCAAATTATGCACAACCTCAGTTTGAAAAGACAGAATATGCACCAAATCGTGCTTGTGTCAACTTTTGCTCTTAAAACTGCCTCTACAACCTAGTGTGACAAGTGCCTGTGCTCTTTCATACTCTTTTGGGGTCTACTTTTTTCTTTGGAAGCAGTTCAGTTAGGATATTATGTTACACTCAGCTAGCACTCTTTATAATACAATTTTAAATTTGTAAACAAAGAAGTCTGAAATAATACATCTTGGTATGTAATATGGGTCAGGACCACAGAGGCACAAAGTAACTTGCCCACAGTTTATTCAAAGGTTTAGAAACAAAGCATAGAATAAACCCCAGTCTTTAGGTATCTGTTTTGTGCCTGTTTTGTTTCCACCATGTGTGTCTGCAAAATAGAACAGCACAGTCAAAATCCACACTGCCCCAAGTAATCTCTTCTGAAGAGCCTGCATAAGTGCAAGTGTTAACAGTTCTGCCTCCTCTGGTTTGCTTTGGATGGCACTCCTACAAGAACACAAGTACAACAAGCTGAACAGCTCTTCTCCACTTCTCCTCTTGTGTCTTGGCTGCTTGAGCAGAATGGAAGGCGAGTGTGGCAGCAGAAGGAAAGTGAAAAGCAATCCAGCACATTCAGGCTTATGATATTTTATTTAAAGCTGTCCCCTGTACAAACTTGCAGATAAATCTCCAAGAATATTCACACTTCCATCTTGGAGTTTTGCTGCAGGCACTGGCTCACTCCTGGTGAATGATAAGCAACTGTGCAGTCCTCATAACGCTAATTGTGCTGGAACCTTTGAAGACTGGAGGAGACAGAAACGGCCTGAATAGCAAAAACAGACTTACATTCTTTTGAATAACAGAGCAAGACAGGAATTAGAAGTAGCAAAAATTGAAAAGCAAGTTAAGCTAACTCTAAAGTTTCTGGATAGTTAGGACTTGTTTCCTTTTAACTGTGGTAGAAACTTGCCCATTGAAAAGAGTTACTTCGTATAAACTTAGCATTTAGTTATGAAAAAGACAGTTGTTTAACACGGTAATGTCACTGGCACAGTTATAATCTTCACAGATGGCATTGCCTCTGGGGAGAAATGTGGAAAATTAATTTCTAGACAGTACAAAAATACATTTCACTGCAAAATGTCAGTTTGCAGCTGAAGAATTAAGCTTTTAAAAATATCTTCTAGCAAATGAATTTTTCACACAGTTTCCCATGTTAAGGACAAAAAAAAAAAAAAAAAGAAGGAAGTGGAGGGGTCTTATTGCTCCTCTTCTTTATCTAGACATGTGCGTTCTCGGAGGGGACTGCCTGCCACACAGGAGCAAAACTACTGCTGTGCTTACAGATCAGCGAGCAGCTATAATGCAAGTTACCACTGCCCAGAGGTCAATACATGGATGTTTATCTGCTGGAGCTAGGTAGATCTTACTAAAATCACAGTCTTTGGATCTCCATTAGAGAGAATTCTTGATTTGAGTCCTTCAGACTTGATGGAAACAGAATCTGTGGTTTCATTGCAGGAATATTTTTCTTTACGCTGTTTCTTTTGCTTTGAGGGATAAAGCAGAAAAATACAAACTGAAGGTGATTTTGATTGTGGGTTTGTTTCTAGAAGGCAAGCTGTAGTCTGAGGCACACTTTAGTGAAAACACCTGGGAATCATAACTATACAGATTACCCAAATCCTTGTGGGTTTGCTAGTTTACTGCAGTTTGCTCACATCTGTGTGGAAGTCCCCTTTCCACAACTACTTCTGCTTGTGTAAGCTGTTTTCTGATACTGAGGTGAGTTAATGATTTGCATTTCTTCAGTGTAATGTAACATTAAACCAGCTTCTTTGAATTCTATGCCATTACTTAGAAAATTGACAAAAATATTATTTTTGTCTGTAATTGTTGTCTGTAAAGCAGCAACAGCTTGAACTTCTTCAGTCGTCTTATGTAAGTCCCCAAGAAACTGAAATACTATTGATAGCCAGCACTTTGTCCCCAAATCGTCCATTAGTATATTGGCCTGGATTTGCGTGATATGGGTTTACTTACCTTTTCTACTTCCGTCACTTTAAAGTGGGATTAGTCTTTTTTCTGTCTTTTTGGAAAAGGCGTAAGAGAAATCAAATTCATGCACATTACTGGAGTTAGATAGGAGACCATTTGTTGATTGATGGTTATATATAAAATTTCATATTCTGGTGTCACTGGGACTGTGGGTACCTAACACCCAATGTTTGAGATTGCCTTTGGAAACAATCAAACCCAAGGTTACCTGTACACTCCTCCATTTTGCTAAACAGGCAGGCAGTCATCTGCACACCACAGATTTTGTAGCACCTTCAAATGACTACCTATCATTGAGGAAATGCTAAACAAAATATAGGTATTACAGCTTCCAGAGGAGTTGAGAAAGTCACCTGGGAGCAGTCTTTCACATCAAATTCTCAAATGGATTTTCTATGTAAACATTCCGAGTTCTCTGCCCGCCTTCATGCTGCCTAGTAAATTTAAACGTGCACCTTCTTTCACCAGTTATTACAGCACTGTTGTTTTTTTCTTTCCCACTCTGGGACTAACATAAGACACTTCACAGCAGCACTTCACCATAGATAGAAGTACACTGAGCACTAACGCTGTTCACCTGATATGGTAAGAAAGTTGCTTTAGTTTCTCTGTAGACGTGTTGCACCTGCCCTTTGGGAGAGTCCAAAACGAAGAATATCTCACATGTTTAGAGAGAGTGCCCTTCACATTTTACTTTATTAATATCCCACTATGACTCTTTAAAAGCATAAAGAACTTCCT